CCTGCTGCTGAAGACTGGACTCCACAGGCACTTCCAGGATTTTGGAAGAGCTCAAACCAGTTTGTAGAGCCATGAATGAAAGACCCAGAAAATCCCTGAAGAAAAGCTAGCTTGATTAGTGGAGCAAAAAAGGAGAGAGGGTAATAGTCGAAGTGAAGTGCAGTTAATCAGGCATTAGAAGCATGACAAGGAGCAGTGAAGTCATTTGACTGCCTGCCTGGAGCACTGCTCCTGCACCACCACCGCTCCCCTCAAACCAGTTTGTAGAGCCATGAATGAAAGACCCAGAAAATCCCTGAAGAAAAGCTAGCTTGATTAGTGGAGCAAAAAAGGAGAGAGGGTAATAGTCGAAGTGAAGTGCAGTTAATCAGGCATTAGAAGCATGACAAGGAGCAGTGAAGTCATTTGACTGCCTGCCTGGAGCACTGCTCCTGCACCACCACCGCTCCCCCTTGAGCTGCCCTTGCTGGACCTGGCCCCCTTCATGCAGCTGCTGGAGGGGAGCGAAGGAACAGCAGCAGCAGCCATCTTACAGGGGCTCGGGCGAGGAAGATGAGCTCCCCCAATTCAGATGCATTTATGCAGCAAGCTGCGAGATGCATTGGTCGCTACAGGCTTGGACAAGCCAGAGGTAACCTGCAGTGCGCCCGTGCTGCGTGGGTGGTTGAGACCAGCTCCGAGGAGTGCCAGCCACGTGCTCAGGTGGGAGCAGGGGCCCGGGTGGGGGTGGGGGGTGGTCCCAGGAGCATATAAGTCACCTGTTACCGAGAGCAGTTTTCAGCACCTTTTCCTCTCAAAGGCCTTGTAGATGGTCACGGTCGCCCCAGTTTCCAGTATGGCTCCTGCAACCACAGAGCAGTTTAGGTGACTGGAAAACTTGGGCAAAAGTGAGGATACAGCTGAATAAGGGACCCCCGTTGCCAAGAGCAGGGTGGGCCAGCAGTGACGGCAGCACCTGGAGCGGGCAAGGCAGGGCTTTTCCGTGCAGGGATCCACATCCACAGCCTGGCTGCTACCTTTGTCCTTATCATCTTGCATCCAGTTGAGAGCGGTGCCCTTCCTTGCAGCCTGTCCCGCGGTGGAAAGCTGGGCTGGAGCCGCCCCCCTGGCCCTACACCCACCAGCAACGCGGGCGAGTCACCAGGAGCAGGAGCATCCTGCTCGCATAGTGCACTCCACCCCGCCAGCAGCTTTCGGACACGGACCTATGACTGGCAGCCCGACCCGGGCTTAGTTTTTTTACAAGCAGCGAAACCAGCACCGAGGCAGCCCTTGGCCCCGGGCAGGCGTCTGCCAGGAAAGCAACCGTTTCAGCAGGCCGCCGGAGGCAGGCTGCCAGGTCTTGGCTACCGCAGGGCTCTCCTTTGCTTGTCGTGGAGGCAGGCTTCTGCTCAACAGCGCGCAGGCTCTCGAGTAGCTTTGCAAGTTGGGGTGGTTGGGTTTTTTTTTTGCTTTCTAAATGCCCTGAGCCGCCTCTGCACCCATGAGCAGACAGGCCGAGGGTACCTTCCTCCTTGTAATGAGGCCAGTAGCACTGGCTCCGAGAAGATGTGCATAGGTCAGAGGTCGAGGCCCTAATAACTCGGTGGCAGCGCCAGAGCAGCTCGGGCACTGGCTTCAATTTGCATCTAGATGATCCTGCGAGTGCTTGACCTTCCTCGATCAGTTTGAGCATAAGGTGACTTTTCTAGCATGGTAGGAGACGGTCAGGGCAGGCACCAGACCCGGTATTGGCTGGGAACCAGGGACAGCAATGCAACGCAAGCTCAATTAGAGTTCGGCTCGTTAGTGC